GCCCTGTGCTTGGCTAATAACAAACCCAACCAGCGCTACAGGCTTGGGGAAGAGTGGCTGGAGAGCTGCCCGGTGGAAAAGAACCTGGGGGTGCTGCGTGACAGCCGGCTGAATATGAGCCAGCAGTGTGCCCAGGTGGCCAAGAAGGTCCACGGCATCCTGGCCTGTATCAGAAATAGTGTGGCCAGAAGGAGCAGGGAAGTGATTGTGCCCCTGTACTCAGCACTGGTGAGTCTGCACCTCAAATACTATGTGTAGTTTTGGGCCGTCACTCCAAAAAGGACTTTGAGTTGCTGGAGTGTGTCCAAAGAAGGGCAATGAAGCTGGTGAGGGGTCTAGAGCACAAGTCTTATGAGAAGCAGCTGTGGGAACTGGGGCTGTTCAGTCTGGAGAAGAGAAGGCTGAGGGGAGACTTTCTCACTCTGTGCAACTACCTGAAAAGGGGTTGTGGTGAGGTGGGTGTTGGTCTCTTCTCCCAAGTAACTAGTGATAGGATGATAGGAAATGGACTCAAGTTGCACCATGGAAGGTTTATACTGGCTATTAGGAAAAATTGCTTCACCGAGAGAGTAGTCAAGCATTGGAACAGGCTGCCCAGGGAGGTGGTGGAGTCACCATCACTGGAAGTATTCAAAAAACGTGTGGACGTGGCACTTCGGGACATGGTTTAGTGGGCATGGTGGTGTTCGGTTGATGGTTGGATTTGATGATCTTTAAGGTCTTTTCCAACCTTAATGATTCTGTGATTCTGTGAGAGATGCGGTTGACACGCCTGAGGGATGGGATGCCATCAAGCTGTGCTAGGGAAGTTGTGCTAGGCCTCAAGTTGTGCGAGGGAAGGTTTATACTGGCCCGGTGGAAAAGAACCTGGGGGTGCTGCGTGACAGCCGGCTGAATATGAGCCAGCAGTGTGCCCAGGTGGCCAAGAAGGTCCACGGCATCCTGGCCTGTATCAGAAATAGTGTGGCCAGAAGGAGCAGGGAAGTGATTGTGCCCCTGTACTCAGCACTGGTGAGTCTGCACCTCAAATACTATGTGTAGTTTTGGGCCGTCACTCCAAAAAGGACTTTGAGTTGCTGGAGTGTGTCCAAAGAAGGGCAATGAAGCTGGTGAGGGGTCTAGAGCACAAGTCTTATGAGAAGCAGCTGTGGGAACTGGGGCTGTTCAGTCTGGAGAAGAGAAGGCTGAGGGGAGACTTTCTCACTCTGTGCAACTACCTGAAAAGGGGTTGTGGTGAGGTGGGTGTTGGTCTCTTCTCCCAAGTAACTAGTGATAGGATGATAGGAAATGGACTCAAGTTGCACCATGGAAGGTTTATACTGGCTATTAGGAAAAATTTCTTCACCAGAAGGGTTGTCAAGCTTTGGAACAAGCTGTCCAGGGAAGTGGTTGAGTGACCATCCGTGGAGGTATTTAAATACTGTGTAGATATTGGTGCTTAGGGACATGGTTTAGTGGTGGACTTGGAAGTGCTTGGTTAATGGTTGGACTCAATGACCTTAAGGGTCTTTTCCAACCTAAATAATTCTGTTCTGTGATTCTCATCTACGGTGAGCAGCATAATCTTCCTCATCTGAGAGGCATCTTTTCCTTTGCTTCAACAAGAAAATTCTACCTTTTTTGTTTCAAGAGAGCAGTAGAAAACCATGTTTTCTATCACATGAGCAAAAATAAGTTTCTCTCAGGCCCTTTCAAGTATTTTTATTCTATATAGCAGAATTAAGGATAAAGAGCAGGAACAGTGAGGCAGAAGAAGTAGTCTCTAAAAATAAGTCTCTTGAAGGAAGTCCATAGTTCTGCATTAGTCTTTTAAATCACAACACATTTTAAAACAATGCTCAGAACACTGGGAAGCAACATCAACAGTGATATTTCCCAGTTCCTTGAACAGCAGGAGATGAGACCCTGAAATAAGCAGTGTGCTGCTATAAGTATACTCATGAAAGTCAGAGACTCTAGGAGAGTAATACTGGTCAAAAGAAGACACACAAGGTTTGTCTAGAATATATCCTTTATTATTTGCAGTCTGTGTAAATTCTAATACATGATTGAATTTCTACATCGTTTTCTCTCTTTAAGCACATCCTGGTCTTTTCCAACTACCTAGTCAATTGCACCTTTATTATGTACAGTCAGTATTTATGAAACATTGCATTTGCATCTATGAACTTAGAAAAATAACAAGCAAGGGAAATTGTTACCATGAAACGGATAAAAAAAAAAGATAGGTAAAACAGTCTATCCCCTTTTAGTGTGTTATGGCTTTGCACCAAGTAACAGATCTCAAAACAAATAGTTTAAGATGCTTCTTGTTAAAAGGCACTTACTGTTCTTCAAATACACTTTCAAATTTAGTTCTATTGCATTAAGAAGTGTATCTCTGGGATTATACTTTCATAACACAGCAGAACAGTCCAAAAAGGCAACATTAATAAAAGGGAAGAAAGGGTTTTTATGTTAAAATACGAAAATACCAAGAATTAACACAAACTTTCAGGATTTGGTCCTTATAAAACAGGCAACAGCATTCAGGCAATAGTGATTTCTTTTCCTAGATGCTAACAAAATAATATCCCCAAAAATGAACTCTTCCAGTTCCAGCGCATAGATATGTCTAAGTTGAGTAGCGTACCCTCTAACACCACCTCCAATAATAATATAGCTTTTCAAGACTAACTACTGCTCCACCATGGCTGTGAAGGAAGGAACCTCAGAAGAGCATTATATGTGCACATACTAGCAAGCCTACAATTCTGTGTCTCTGTATCTGGACGGCTGTCCATAATACCCCTTCTTAGAGTGGTCTGATAGCTGCCGACGGTACTCCTCCTCCTCCTCTGCATCACTGCCATAACTGCCACGGTTCTCCAGGTAAGGTCTAATAGGAGGTTTCTGGGGTTCTGGAGGTCTGGAGCTAACACAGCAAGACAGGGAGAGAGAAAGAATGTTTACTTCCATTCTGAAAATCTGAGAAGTCCTTATACTGAGTTATTTGCTTTATGGCCACCTACAACTATAAAGGCACAAAGAGCAAACGAAATCCCGTCTAGCCCATGAAAAATTGCATGGCTGTGGTAAGCCTCATCTGGAGAGGCATCTTATTTCCATCAAGCTGGAGCCTGATGTTCAGATTTGACCTACTGAACCTACCTGTAAGAAGTAGGTTCAGCTCTCTACAACTACCTGAAAGGGGGTTGTGGCGACATGGGTGTTGGTCTCTTCTCCCCAGTAACTAGTGATAGGACAAGAGGAAAGGGCCTCAAGTTGTGCCAGGGGAGGTTTAGACTGGATATTAGGAAAAATTGCTTCACCGAGAGAGTGGTCAAGCATTGGAACAGGCTGCCCAGGGAGGTGGTGGAGTCACCATCTCTGAAGTATTCCAAAAATGTGTGTATGTGGTGCTTCGAGACATGGTTTAAGGGGCATGGTGGTGTTGGGTTAACGGCTGGACTTGATGATCTCGAAGGTCCTTTCCAACCTTAATGGTTCTGTGACTCTGTGGTTCTTTAATGCCAAATTCAAAATTATTTAATACCCCCACACACATATCAAAAGCTTAACAACACTTTATTCCCTGAGCAGAGGTTTTCAGCTATTGCTGCTACCCCAACTGACATTTTCCTTAATTTTTTTTGCACCAGATTCTTCTATGTCTGCTTCTTCTTTTGCATCCCCAGTTTCCCATCTCAAGGTCTGAAGATATCTTATGTGACATTTCTTAAATTGATAGCCGTCTCTCCTCACTCAAGGCTTTCACTAGGGCTCTTATCCTTACAAATGGGGCAGAAATAACCCACACATTTGCTTTTTATACATTGTGGTGCTACCCATTTAATGTGACACTAAGGAGATATATAGAAATAAAATCTGCCAAGGGAGAGCATTTCCTTAGTTTCAAAAGCCATGAATTTTGCAGTCTCACACTGTACAAAAACAAGGTGTTAGCCTCCTTACATACTGCCCCAGTGCTTACACAGTCCCTCTAGGCCAATCATTAACATTCCTGTAAAAAGGCAACAGCACTGACTTCTGTATGTAAGCAAATGCTCCGCGTGTGTGGTTAAAGATTACTTTTCACTACTTCTAAAAAGCTTCCAAGGCTATATAAATAAAGTATGCTTTCCTGTCCTCAAGAAGAAAACCTGAAAATAATCATTTCATGTTTTCCATTTTTGCATTTTAGATTATATACTATGACATCAAAGGATTTGATTCACTAGGAAAAAATGTCCCATTGCTGTTGGCTATTACTAAGACATAAGAAAAACTGAAGTCCTGCAGAGCAGAAAACAAAATCCATCATACAGTGTGTTAGCTCTTGCATAGGTGACTGCTCAAGTCACAGAAATATGCAGCATATAGGGTAAGATGACACAATGGTCAGCCAGTCCAGAAGTCACTGAATTCTAATGAAAGACTCCTACTTTCATGAGACTCGATGGGTGACCTCAAGCAAGTTTCATACTCAGCTTCCCTACCCACATAATACATCTGTAACTGAATAAACATTTAAATAATTAAGTGTTATTAAGTACAAGTAATTAAAACAGCAAGTATTTGTTAGGATAGTCTAACAGTCATCAAGCATCTAGAACAGGGAGATGGACATCAAAGGACATGAATGCAGAAAAGCTACTGAGTAATACAGATTGGGGCAAAAACCTGGCTCTGCAAATACTTCAGCAAAAGATAGCGTTTCTTCCTAGGTAACTTAAATACTATGAATGAACTAAAAAAATATTCTGAAAAACAGGAAGAGTTCACTGAAGTTTTGCCCCACCTTTACAGCAATCTTTAAGGCACAAGGACAAAGTGATATACCAAGGCAGGATTATTTGTATGAATAAAAACTGGCAAGATCAGTTTTCCTCCTGCTGCTGAAGTAAACAATCAAGACAGAATGCTTTAAACTGGAGACACCTTACCTCATAGGCTGGGGCCAGGTCTGTTCTGACTTCTGTGTTTTGACAGGGACAGCATAAATATCTGGGTGCTTCTGGGCTATTTCAAGCTTTAAAAGAAAGTAGGAGAAAATGACTGTTCCTTTTAGGTCTATCCATTAGGGATCCTAGACTGTAGATCCTAGAGTCTAGACCTAGCAGTTCACAGCTACATCTGAAACAATTAAAGCACAAAATGATAACTGTTGTTACTCTTACTCCTACAAGTATATCATCTTTTGCTACAGTAGTAATTCAAAGTGCACATGAAAACAATGGATAGCCAAAAGTAACAGGATTATTAGAAGACAGCTTTCTATAGTTACAATAGGAAGCCTTAAATCCTAATCCACACAATGGTATGTCTGGATGTGTGGTTTCCCAAGCTTCTCCCTCCAGAACCAATACAATGCAAGGGCATGATTTTCATTTTCAGGATGCAAGCTGTTCCATATGTTGGAAAGCACAGCAGAGGGAGAATGCTTCTCTTCATACCCTGGCATTCTGGGCCTCTTGTAGCTCTTGCATTCTTTGCATCCTCGCCTTATGATCCATCTCTTCGAATATTTTGACTTTCCTCAATACAGATTTTGGAGTATTTTCTTGTTCGCTTCCTTCCTCTTCCAACTTTGCCTCCTCCTCCTCCTCTGCAGGTGGGATTGCTGGCTGAGAGTTTCTTAGGATGGGACGCCCAAAGGCAGGTTTCACAGAAACAGGTGGTGGTGCTGCTTTGGCTGATATGGTTGAAGTCTCACTGCTGACAGCAATGTTACTTGATTTGGAGTCATAGTTCTTCGGGAAGTCATATAGATCCTCTTTGCTTTGTAACTTTCCCTGTGAGTATAAAACACATAGACAAAGTTTGCAGCATCAACTTCATACTTTTTGTTTCAAATGAAGGCGTTAATCTGAAATTAATCATTCTGTCTATGTATTTAACAGTGTCAATCTTTACCCAAAGTAACACTTGAAAGGTATCTGCTTTCAAGTAACACTGCTGTGACATTTTGGCCATACGCTTATACACTACACATCCACCTATGGAAGACTAGCACATTTAGACTTGTTTGTCCCATTTGTTAAGGATTACCAGATCACACATATTTGAAAAGAACTGTTATCCTTTAAGTATCCTCTCTGCTTGACCCTGCAACATGTTCAGTTACACACTTCTCTCCACACTTATAATGTTTTCTAGTCTCTGATCATTCCTATTGTTCTTTCTAATGTGCCACCCTGGAGAGTTCTCCAGAAAGAGGAACTTTGTATTCAGATTTGTTTCTACAAATTTACCTTAGGTGGTTCAGGCTTGAATGCTGGAGGTGGACTTGGTTCTCTAAGGATCTCCCTGCTACCAGCTTTTCTCAACTGAGCCCTTGGTTCTGGACTAATTTTTTTTAAACTCTGTGAAAGAAAAGAGATAAAATCACTGCAGTATCCAGTAATTCAATAATTTTTTCTCTCTCTCAAGTTTACTATTTTGGGAACAGTAACCAGGAGTCAAATGACTGTCAGCAACCTCACCACAATCACTGTAGATGTAATTGCAAAGTTCAAGGTGATGAGACATCATCAGGAAACTGACAGTTAGGCAGAAAAGCAGAGCTATTACTATTTTTGCTCTATACAATGTAGCTGTAAAACACTATCAGAGTTAAGATAAAGCTGCAGTTTAAAAACCTCTCAATTTTTAAGCCATACATACAGGGCTTTCAGATAGTCCAAAGTACAGTCTTCCTGAAAATCCAATGACCTCACCTCCTCAGGATGCACAGGTTCAGAGGACCGGCTAACAGATGAAATCCTTGGTTCATCCAAGGGCTCATCAAGTTCATTGTCAGTGTATGCACCTCCTTCTCCATCTGTATCCTCTAGGTCACTGATTAGCCGACTGTCACAACTCAAATAGTCAGCACCCATTGCAGTAAGGTAAGACATACGATCATCTGCATCATCTTCCATGCTGTCCATCTAGAGGAAAGTCAAGGAAGAATTAAGGAACAAGTATGTAAGAATTAGTTTATTGCCTCCTCACCATTCTCTCCTAGCCACAGCATTAGTGATGAAAGCTCCAAGATATTAACAGAAAGAACAATAATAAGTAATTTTTTTGTTACCAACAAAGACATCAGTGGACTACTTGTCTGATCTATCCAGCATTGGCAAACAAAATTTTGAACATTTTTTACCGGCAAGAGACATCTTGAGACATCTCTATACTTTAGTACAGTATGGACTGACTGCTTACCTTTCCTTCTGATACCCATACGGCTTCTCCTTGCTGTTGCTGAATTGTATCTTTCAGACTACCATACCAGCTATCGTTGGCTGAATTCAAATTGATGGTGGCTGTAAAAATTGAAGGAAAAAGTATATATACACAGCAAATGCAATGTGATCCTTTATCCAGGTTTTGGTGTTTAACACTTTTTGTTTTAGTTAAGTGAGAACGTTAAACAGCTATTTCATTTAGATCATTGACAGAAGCATGGTATTTTTATTTTATTGTTTGTCCATTCCCCAAGCTTATTAAATAACTTTTAAATCATTTTATTAAATCTTTTAATGATGATACACCGATTCATAATTTCTTTTGTATTAGAATCTGGCAGAACAAGGAACTTTGAAAAAAGTCAAATAAGGGATTGCTCATGACCATACCTCCACACTCTTTTAGTTCCAGCCTGCATCAGTTAATATGCATAGTAGTGAGTGGATGTCTCAAGACTCACACAGTCATACCCACTACCCTGTTGGTAAGCAGGTTAGACACACATTCTTCCATACCTGTAAAAAGGTGGGAACAAGTTTTCTTCAGTTTGTTTGCCTGCTCATAAAGTTTTCTTGAGCTCTTGTTAGATGTGGAACATAGCCTTTGTCTCATGGTTTTCACACCCTGCTTACTGTCTGGGTTAAAGAAGACCACAATTGGAAACCACTGGGTATAGTTCAACAGGTCCACTGCTTTAGGAGTCACATCCAACAGAGCATGTTTATCCTGTTAACAAGAAAGCCCAATCAGTGTGCTGCTTGTGTGGAACAACAGGAGGTGGTTGGAACATAGTATCCTATGAAAACCAGGGCATTTTTGTCCAAATAACTTGTTGGATTTTTTTCCCCACAGTTACATCACATTCAGAAGCCACAGCAGGCAGACATTTTCTTTCAGCTCCATTTTTCTAAAAAGCTTTTACCTGAACGTCCACATTCTTATGTTAACTCTCATGTTAAGTAAAATGCACGTATTCCTTTTTTTTTTTAAATAGGCAGTGAAAGTTAACTAGCTTTTCTCTCTACCTGCCCCTACCACAGTTTCCACTACCACAACTATTCTGGGTGCTAGCTGTGAGCTTTTATCTACACTTATTAAGTGACGCAAATCTCACTTTTTTAATTTAGTATCTTCCTTCTTAGCTACTTCTAGTGCAAAGGTGAATGGGATTTTCAAACGCATGCTTCAGTGGAGCCTAAGCTCTGAACAGACTTCTGTGTGACATTCAAACCTCTCTGGCATCAATTTTAATGGGCTCAGCGCAATAAGCTGTGGAGTACATTCTTTTTGACTAGGTATTTTAGGCTTCTTCATTACCACCTATTTACGTGATCTCTAAACAGTCTCACAGAAGGATTCAATGCAGTCTCAGCAGATGCCACTTAGCTATCATAGTTACTTCCCATTCAGTTCAATAGTAGTAACTGAAGCAATCTAAAACGTTAAGTTTCTGATGACAATTAAGAGCAAGTAGAGCACTGCATGACAGTACAGCCTCCATAGCAAATTCAGAAAGCATATAGTAAACCACAGATGCCCCTCTGTTCACATTTAGAAGGGACTAAGGAAGGAGAATTTAATTTCTAATATCAGGTTCACCCTCCCACTTGGAGGACAGCTATCAAAATTATAAAAATTGTTGCTCAACAATTTCAAAAGAGCCCTATCATTAAGCCAAGTCTGCTTATTGCAGAAATAGATGCAGCGAAGTGCAAGTTTTAGGAGCAAACAAATCAAACAACATGTTTTGGAGTGTAAGCGATTTTCACAGATAAATACTCTACCTGCTCAATGATTTGCCTCACTGTGTTCAAGCGCACTACTCCAGTTGACTTCTCTGAACCTGCATCTCTGGGTTCTGTCTCTGCAAAGACAACGTTTTAGCTTATCTAGAGCAGCCGGGCAGCTGTGATTATTAAGTTATCCATTCTCTCAGTTCAGGATGATAAGGAAGCTAGGAAGAAACCTTACTTGCTGTCTGGTAGAGGTGAGGCAAATCATTTGACAACTTCTCCATAGCAACATCTGCAATAGGGCCAAATATCACCACAGGTCTCTTGAAACCAGCTGAAAGAAAAATATTTGGAGAAAAGATAAGTCCAGTAAGACTGGTTTTATCTGTAAATAAAGTGGTACAGACAAGATCCTCAATTACTATGCAAGGTTATGAATAAGTTGAAGATGTATTTTAAAAAATTTATTTTGGAAAAGTTTCTGCAACAGCATAACTCATATAGAAAGCTATTTTTATCAGCTGAGAAAGCAAAAGAGATTGATTTAATTTAACAGCTTCCTTATTCCTTCTAGTGAAGATGTACTGAGAGGATTCTACATTCTGAAAACAGACAGCAGATCTTCAGTAATCTTTCCATCCAGCAAAACAGCATGAACCTCGACCCAGTGGGTTTTGTGTGAATAAAGACACAAATGCTAAACCAGTTGAAGAAGCAAAGAAATGCAAAGTACTGTTATGTTTATGTCAAAACCAGTCCAAACACGGTCCTCAAAAGTTACTGAGGGAATGCCATTCTATTGCTCAGTCTTCATCTTGACATCTGGGAGATCCTTTAAAGCAGTTTTTAGTACTTGTTTTATTCCGCAATACTCTCATGTGCAAATACCCAGAAAATTATCTTGACTTGCTCAACAGCACTAGTAATACAGCTAGTTTAGAGTCACAGAGATGACCACATCAACCTTGATTACATTTGGACAAGCTGTTGAAAATATTTGAGTTTTATTTGTTCTCAAGGTGATGTTAAAGGCTATTCATGAGCAAGCTAGATAGTGATTGATCTCAGGCGTATGGATTGTACTTTCAGAGCTAGCCAAGGGGAAGCTGAGGAAACCATGCTTCTTTCTTCCTTTTTTTCATTTTAAACCTTCAAATTGGCATGTGCGATTTGGAAGCAAGTGAGAACAGCCAGCAGTTTGAAAATATAAAAAGCTGTTGTCTTAGAGTAGTTAATAGCATCGAGAAATTTGCGTTTTGAGAAAAATGTCATCCCTTCCTGTTGCTCAAATTTAACATGGAAGCCAAGTTCTTCAAAATCACTTACTTAGCGGACCAAACCTTTGGACGCTAAACCAGCCAGCAATAAACGGGCAGCTGGCTCACAGGAGTCTCACTTACCTTCACGCAACTGAACTCGCTCATAAGCTGGGAATTTTGTGCTCACAGATACAATAGCTGTCAGATCTTCACGACTCTTCCTCAGATTCTTCTTCACTCCAGATCGCTGGCCACGTGTTCTCCAGAAGTCTGCCCTATCACCTGAGCCATCTTTTTGGGCATTTTGAACACTGGCCATCTGCTCAGCTCTGACAGAGAAAGCACAGAGTTCATTTGTACAGAACTAGTCAAAGAGAGCAAAGGTGCTTTCACTGAAGAATAAGGGATTTTGAATTTATAACAGGTAATTTGCTGGACAGACAGCTGTGAGTGGAGGAAAGAATAGAGAAATCCAGGTTCTTTTGCCTTGGAGCAAACACAGAGTCAGAATGATGCTCTGACTCACCACAGCTACAAGATTCCTGGGCCGGAATGAGTCTTTGGGTCTTCAACTGGTAACTCACACAAGCGTAAATGAAAGAATGCAACTGCAAAGAGGTGGTGAGAGAGTGCAGCTCAGAACTAACGGCCTAAGAAATTACTGCCACTATTCTCTTCTCCATTAGCCCTTACAAGTTAAGTCACTTCAGCATAGAAACAAAGGCTAGTTTGGTCAGATCAATTAACAGTGATGACAGAATGTACTAAATAGGAAAGGGGCAGGGGAGTCACATAAGAAGCACATTTCAGGAACATCTGCACAATGCAATTGTGAGCTTTTTTCCCTCCATCTTAAAATCACATCCACACTCAAGAACGTAAAAGCTACAGTCTAAAAATACAGAGGTTTTTTTTCTGATGAATTTTAATAATTTTACTCGTGGTGCGCATTTGAACACTTACTACCTCATGTGAATTTTGACTAGGAAAGCATATTCAAGTAAAAAACATTGCTGTGGTTTACGCAGTATTTCACACAAAATTAAGGACTACAGCTACCAAGAAGTATTAGCCTTAGCATAAATTCTTGAAACATTTTCTGTAAGGATATAGAGAAGAAATTCAAGCACAGAAGTTCTTTTAAAAGATTCATCATCAGAGTATTCTTGCACACACAGTCATGAGCTCTCTAAGGTATAGGGGGGCTTTGTTTGGTTTGTTGGTTTGGTTTGTTGGTTTGGTTTGATTATATTTGATTGGGGGGGGAGATGAAGAGGAAGTGAAGCAGCTAAGTGATCAAAGATTGGTTGATTGCTGAGGCAGGAGCTCTAGGTCTGTGCTGCAAATACCTGATCAAGTATGTAGGTAACACCATCCCCTCTCCTCCTCTCCTCACACAATGCCACGGTTCTAAAATCTACAGTTTTACAGGCACAATTGTTTGTGAATAAAAACAAATTATTCATTCTTGTAAGGGGGAACAAAAGGGGAAAAAAAAGGAGAATGGTATGACATAGGAAGCAAAAATAATTTGAAAAAAAATAATCTTACTTCTAACAACATGTAGGAAGACAGGATGCCACCTTACCTGCTCTTATTTGGAATGAGGCCCTTTTCCAGTTCATTTCCAATTCTCACGGCCAGCCAGTTTCCCAGTTTGCCATCATACAGTGTATCAACTACTCTAAAGATCTCCCCTCTGGTGAATGATAAGCTCTGTGGTGACTCTTTTTCACACTCAAAGTGGCTCCTGATGAAGAATGAATCTCCTCTGCCACAGGCCATGATATCTCTGTAAACTGAAAGAGGAAATCCCCTTTAGTTTACATTTTTTCACACTTCAAAAAAAGATAAAGCTGTCATTCTAGGGAATAGTTTTGAAAATTTTCCCCTCCACTCAAAAAGATGCAAAAAATCAGCCTTCACATCCACTGCCCTACACACACATTACCAAGAGTGTTTTATACTTGTACACGTACAGACCTCAGAGCTCTGAGGGAAGAAGGTACTTGCACCTTCCCAAAGCAAAAGGCAGCTATGGTACTTCAATATGACAGCAGGCTGTGTTTCCCACAGGCAAGCAAGCCGCTTTGCTTGCTCTTTAACTGTTCATTAATAAAACCGCCCATTTGTTGCTATCTGACTGAGTCGCTTATGACTGCCAAGGCACAGCAGAAAAGGAATGCTAACAGCACATCTTGGGCCAGCTGCTACAAACAGAAAAGCAAAAGGAACAAGCAGTACCTTGCCTCTCTTTTGGATTAAGAAGAGATGCTATTTGCTAATAATGGAAGAGATGGAGCAATGCTCTGAAAAACTCAACACACGTGCATCTATATGACCCTTGTGGTATGCAGTACAGCTGTCTCCTAAACTACTGAAAAGGAGGGTAACTAAAATGCTATCAAGAAAAAGCACGAGAGATTATTTGTGGTTTCACCAACAAAACAAAGCTTTTTAAGCTTTTAGCTTCATGGATACATGCACATTTTGTTCAAAGCACCTACCTTCATATTTGCTTTGAGCCAAAATTGTCACTGTTTCACCTTTGGGAATTTCTAAGAGATATAAAACAGCATCTTCCCGAACAATGCCTCTGAAGTCTTGAGTGTTTACCTATGTACCAAAAAAACCCCAAACAAAACAGAAAAAAATAACCCTCAAAAATCAACAATGAAAGGAATAGCCAAACATTTTGGTTTCACCTTAAAAATCTTAAATATTCTCTTCCCTTATTATACTTCTTTTTTTAAAGTCAGTATGGATGTCTGTTGCCATAAGGAATATTTTATTCCAGTTATTAACATTAATTTTTCTGAAATAACAAGGTTCTGGATGTGCTGCTGGATTGTTTCTTCTATTTTAACAAGCTCCAACAGGCATTGAAAATCAAGGCTATCACAAGAGAACACAGGCAGAAGAGAAGATTACCGTAGCATCCTGTTTGAATTTTCCAAAAAAAATGAGAATGTAAGAGGACAAAATGGCATAAATGATATAATTCAGAAACTGGAAAAATAAATCACTGTTACCCAAGGAAATTAGAGAAAGATGAAAGAAGAAAAATATGCTGGCCTCAGTTTTCCCCCACTGCAAGACTAGAAAGAAGCATTGCACAGAAAATTTACTCTCCCATCTTGGGGCATTTTTCTTGATTAATACTTCTCCTACTTAACCCTTCCACAGAATCTTAAACAAACTAAAGCTTGACATACAATTCTCCTTCAAAAACTCATTTCAGTAAGATCCCTCCATCATACATGCACATTTCCAAAGCAATAACTTGACTTCCTAAGATCATGATTTCTTCCATATTTCCACAAAGAAGCAAACAAAAAAAAATACAAAAGTAATTTGCATTTCAGGGACACATACTTCTACTCATACCTTAAGAATCTGATCTCCTTCCTGTAGTCCCTCCTGATCAGCTGAGGTGCCTTCCTGAATTCCAGCAATAAATATCCCCACATCATTTCCGCCAGCCAGTCGTAGACCCACGCTGTCCCCTTTCTTGAATCTCACCATTTTTGTATTAGGACTACAAGATTTACAGGCAGAAAAAGTAAGTAAGGCCAGATGTTAGGCATGTGACAGTAACAGGTTGTCAACAGAAAAAAACTGCAACCCTTTCAACAAAATTGTATTAAGAATATTCTTAGCCCCTTTCTTTCACTATATAGGCTGTATTTACCCAGGTAACTCTTCAGTGAGGGAAGGAAGCAGAGAATTTGCAATTTTCAGAGTGGAAACTGAACTAGGAAGAGTGACTAAATGTCATAGAAAGACTTGACAGAGCAGGAAAGCAACTCCCTGTTCTTAAAGTCCAAAAATAGTTCCCTACCTATTGGATCCTCTCTCAGATAAGGAGCTGGGTTTGTTGTGAAAACAGCCTGAGTTTTAAGTAATCATACTCATTGGTTTTTTCCTCTATATGCTTAAGAATGGTCAGATGAATTAAAATTATGCCTATTTTCTTTGCAGTTTAATGTGTTTGTTAGACAGAAGTCTTTGAGTTTTCTTGTAGTAAGAAATATTTCTAAGTATACTCTACTGGTATGTTAACAATCAGTCCTTTCACATTGCAGTGCAAGAGGCTACTGGACTAGGTTCAGCTTTTTTGCTGTCAGAAAAGCTGTATGCCTGAGTGACCTTCCAACACAGAGGACAGTACTTATCTGTCAGCCTTTCTCAGTAATACTCTAAGCCTGTATTATAAATTCCCCTTCATCAAAATAATCACTTGATTAATTTGCACATCAATGACAACATATGCAGGATCCAACCCAGAAAAGATCTGAGAAGAGAATCCATTTGAGAAAATACTCCAAGCTACAGAATATCTTCAAAACCTTATCTTTAGGCTTTTCCTTACAATCTCAGTCCTCCTCTCCCTTCAGTTTCTGTATTTGAAAACATGTAAGTTGATTTCCTATTAACAGTTTGCAACTTTTAGTATCTTAGTTGTTAAAGAATCAACAGTACCATTTGACCACTTATAAAGATCATTCAAAAAATCCCACAAAAATAAACTTTGGAAGGAATATTTTGTCAATTTCTAAGCAGAGACTAGAACTGCAATACGGACCGCACAGGCTTGGATTTGAAGAAAAGACACAAAATTTCTGTACACAAGTTTCCAGCTTGTACAGAAACACACGTATGTTTGGCCTTATCTTGCAACAAGCTTGTTTACAAATTAAATAGAGGACATTCAGTTTGTACCTTAATATTGTGGGGAAGGGGAGAGTTGTCTTTTGTGTACATATAAAATAATGGAAGGGGTGTAAAATACACTTCCATAGAACCAGACAGGTTGGAATGGCTCTCTGCTCAAAGCACGTTGTTCAGGGTCTTAAGCAGTGATGTTTTTTAGTATCTCTGATGGGGGAGAGCAGAATAAAAATATAAAAATATACCACTGTGTATGTTCCCATGCAAGCCCAGAAGCACAGGTTGTTCTATACCTTCCAGGAAGAAGCCAGGTCTATATCTTCCAGGCAGATACTTCTAAAACTAAGTTTAACTCAAATATGGTCAGTTAGAAGCCACGTCGTCTCTTCTTGACATTAAGTTATAAAGGGAGTATGACTCCAAACCTGAACCCATACAACCAAGAACCAGGTACTGGTCACTGGAAGAATACTGAGTACAAAAGAACATGGCAAGTGCTGTCTTACCCATATATTGCTTCATCTTCAGGGCTGGGTTTAAGAATCGTTCTTGTAACTGCTTTTGGTTGAGACACTGTATGTAAAAAAACCAACAGAAGTTACTGAGCTATTAAAAAATTATAAATGGCAGTGATTTTTAGCTGTCAGATAGTAATCAAACCCTCCATGCCACAGATTAATACAGATTTAAATGTCAAGCATCTATTTGACTAGAATTTATTTACTTACCTTTTTTTTTTTTTTAATTAACGAAAAAGAACAAAAGGGTCAGGGAAATGATATACAACTCTTTCAGATAAGCCATATCAAATGTCAGGAATAGCTTCATTTGGCTGCTTAGGGCAACTGGCTACAGTAGATGCTCTAGGAGACTACTTGCTTTTTGAGGTGGTAGTTCTAATACGTAATTGCCTTCAGATAATCTCAGGTGTTTCTTCTCTCTGCACCACAAAGCAAAGACAGACCGCTTCTCTGTGTGTCAGGATGGGGATGACATGAAGAGTTATACTAGATGTGTCAATGTGATTGGGGGAGTAGACATCCTGTGGCCAGGGGAAAAAAAAGGAACACAAAAGTTCAAACTCTGACCTGCTGGGTCGTCTTGGTACTTCAGTTCTTTGTTTGTGTCTACAGCTGTAACAGCAGGAGTAGCAAAGTCACCAGATGATTTGAATGGTGTAGGCATTGCTCCCATCCTGGACATCCTACTAGATGGATCATCTTTTGCACTAAAAGAAAGAAAAATATTAAAAAGTATAGTGAAATCAAGTAAGAATGCTACGTATTTTGAGAATTTCTTTGACAAGCATTAGAAAAATGGACTAGAAAAGACTATTTCTTACTTTGGCTTCTCTTTCAGCTTTTCATTGGATGAATGCGAATCTACATCAGAATGATGTAATCTGTCATCTTGAGGGGAGAATGATCTGTTTGACTCTATTTCAGAAATGTCTGTAAAGAGAGCAGCAAATCAATACATACAGAATTTGTTTAAATAACCTTCATATCTGATCACCACATTTACTTACAAAGCTTTCACATATAAAATGTGCTGAACCTTTAAGCCTACTCCTGTTCCAAGCTGGATTTGACTAGGGTTCAGAAGTTGCTGTATGCTTTTTAAGTGCTTCCATCCCCCGTGCCCCTGAAAATATTTCAGGAAGGTTTCACACAACCTTAGCTAACACACTCACATCACACAACTACTTTAAGCATACCATAGACTCATTAATTAGTGTTAGCAGCCTTTTATTTGAGGTGTCATGGAGGTTCCCGAACAGAAGACCACCTTCACATTAATAGTCCTCACACCATTGCTTTTCAGTGACAAAAGAAACAGGGTAGCCCTCAGACTTGAATGGTATCTCAGTCCTCATAGTAAAACCTACAAAAAGTTGCACCCAGTATTCTGACATCAGAGAAGCAAATATCTTGCACTAAATATCTTGCTCACACACAGACCCTGAGCCCTTCCCAAACCAAGATTATGTTGAGAGATATAGCTTATACACTATAAGAGATCATTTGTACAGAACAGATACCGGAAATAGAAACCAGTTGTCTAGGGGGACTGAATTTCCTCCTATCCTGACATTTTTCTCTCCCACTGAAAGCTGTCATGAATGTTAATGCCCTCAGAAGGAGAGACCAGTCCAATCCACGTGTTTTTAAAATGAAAGTCTTTTATTAAAGCAACTGACTTGCTTGTTCTGAGAAGTAAGATTGATTTTGCCAAACCAACATTGTTTCATCTATCTCTGTCCCTGCCCAAAATGTAATTACTACAAAACAACTACTACAAAATTCTTCTTTCACCTGAAGGAAGCGGGCTTGATGCTTCATTGGCTATTACTAGGGTTTGTTTGTGTTTGGTTATTTTTGTTTTGTTTTTTTTTTTTTTAAAAGAAACTAGTACCACTCTACCACAGCAAAACACTATAAGCTCTATTTTGTCCCTGCACAAAGGCCAGAACTTTTTATCCACATTAAACCTCACCATCCATTTCTGAGTCACTGTCGTTCAACGAAGGAATGTTGAGCAGTGTCTGCTTTCTGTCCCTGAGGACAACCAGCTGGAGCTTCCCCCGTGACTTCTCAATCAATTTTCGGGCATCAGCTAAAGACATGTTCTCTGTCACTGTACCATTGATCTGGACATAAAAAGGCAACAATAACACTACAAGTAAACAAAAAAGTCCATATTGTGGACTCAGGTGTGCTCAAGTTTAATAGTGAACTTGACTATAACATGAGGTACTTGAGGGTAACCATTATAACAAATGCGTGCTAAACTGCTAACAGTATAACCAGAACAGACCTTGAGAATGATATCCCCTTCATGAAGGTTGCCATCTTTGGTTGCTAGGCCAGTACGGGTCATTTCTTTTATGAAGATCTGACTTCCAAGACGGAGACCATATTCTGGAATCATGGAAATAATCCACTGTAGCTTAGAAGATGAGCGAGGATGCATTTTTTTTAAAACTACACAGTGTACATGCAGCACACCCCATCACACCATAAGAAAAAAAAGCGGACCTAGCAAACCCACTTAAGCCCCTAGGCTAACTCTCCTATTTCTGTGCTGTCACTACAGTAAGAACAAACAGATGGATGGTTAGTCTGCACCTTCAACAGCAAAACAATGTCTTCGTTCTGGAAATGCTTATTAACATGCTGGACTAGATTCTCTCTGCATCATATTTTGCATGGTGTAGAAAGAGAGGGAAAAGAGTAAAAAATCACTGTTTTTTTTTACCCGTTGCTCCATGCTCACCCTATCCTATCTGTACCCCAGCAGGTGTCACAGTTGTTCAGGCAAAGGATTTCCTCCCCCTTTTTTCCAAGTTACTTGGATCAGTATATTTGCTACTTAAAAAGAAAGGCAACACTCTTAAAACACGCACACCCTAGAACAACAGAAAAGGACAGAAATAGTTATCTGCTTTAAAAGATTACCACATTTGAGTCAGTATGCAGAGTATCCATATGAATGGCAGAAATTATTACGGAATTACTAGCTACATATAAAACTTTATAAAGACACCTTAAATTATTCCTTATTTGTACACCTATCTGCAATATCTTTACAAGTGGAAACATTATGTGAAGTGGAAGAAGAGGAAGGAGGGAAAGGGATCCTTGCCAGTCAGTGAAAAAAGATGTTGGCTCCTGCATACAAAGCTTACATGAGCAGAAAATTCTTACAGATCACAACAGGGCAATTAGAAAAAAACAACCCACAAAACTCCCACAAACAAACCACCACACCCCCCAAAAAAACCCAAACAGAAAAGAATGCACAACCTAATCCCAGATATGCTTTATACCACAAAAGTCTTTGTTTCAAAGCACACAAAAGATCAGGCTTTTGGCTTTCATTTACTCAGCAAGGAAAGGCTGTTTCAGCTGTTGCTACTTCAGTATTCTTTAACTACATTCTGAAGTATTCAGGACCAAACAATCCTTGGAACTAATTTAATTATACTGAAGGGAAGAAATAAGTGCGTTATTAAAGGCAGAGTCTACTCTTCACCCTTTGTAGCTGACCCTTTTGCACATGTGCCAACTGTAACATGAATCACAATCAGATTCATGTTTCCCACCAGAACGAGAAGAATAGAGCAGAGAAAATGGAAAATGAAAGGATACAGTGGCTTGAAAAGACTGAAACGATGTGGGTGAACAGTTCTTTGTTCAAAGGTGAAGTTCAAGGTGCTGGGGGAAAAAGCACCCCAAACCATCCAGGAAGAAATGAAAGAACAACTTAGGCGATCAGCTAGAAAACTCAACATTTAACCTGTAAAAGCAGAGAATATGCAGCTCCTCTCCCTCTCCCACCAACGTAACAGGCTGTATTAAAAGTCAATTCCGCTCCTCCCCTGCCGTACCTACCTTCATTATGTCTGCCTTTTGTTAAGAGAACACTGACTGGTCCACTCTGATCCTGCAATCCGAAGTACTCGTGTTGATGGCGTACTGCAGGCGAAGGACTTCGGGAACGAAGCCTGTCCTGACTTCCGCTCCTCATTTCCCTCCCATATCTAGGATCAGGTTGAGATCCATGACTATAACTGGGTGGGCTGTAGTCTCCTCTGTAGTCCCGTTCATAGCCACCATCCCTGTCAATGCTCCTTCCCCTGCTCCTATCTCTTCTATAGTCTCGATCCAAGCTCCTGTCAACACTCCTTCCACGACTTCGATCACGGCTGTAGCTGCATTCCCTAACACGGTCTCTGCTTCGGTTACGTCCTCTGTCTTGTTCATCTCTATAGCTCTGATCCAGGCTGTTTCCCCAGCTTTGGCTGCGCCCTCCATTACCACTGTGCCAGCTTCTGTCGCTATAGCCACTTCGAGCACTTTTGCCATCAAATTCTGCATGGTCATCCATTACATCTAAAGTTCTGTCCTCATAGTCAAGGGAGGGGCTTCTCCTCAATGCAGCAACCTGCACTTTCCTCGGTCTTTTCACTACCTGTTCAGTGCAATAAGAAAGAAAAAAACACACAACCCTCCAATGGTCAGAATGTGAAATTCCATAGATTAATATTCTTCACACTTCAAATAGAGTCTGGGGGACAAAAAACACTAATGTTCTACTTATAGAACAACCAATAAATTACATTATTTAGATGGGCAAAAGAAATATTACTAATTGGGAGGATAAAGAACAGTGGGAAGATTAAAAAAAAAAAAAAAATCAGATCAGCAATCACATTCTTTTACCCCTGCAAGAGTATGAGTAATGAATACTTTTTCTCTTTTTCCAGATGACTTCTAAAAAACACGACAAGCCCCCAAAAGAGAGATTTGTGGATGCCTTTCTCAAAGCTAATCTGGGCAGCAAATTCTTGGGCAAGGTCTGTGTATGCAGGACATACACATTTGCTTCATATGACTTTGATTTTTGCCAACTACCACTCATTATTCAGTAAAATTAAAGATTGAAGTCATGTTCCCAGTTTTTCAACAGGATAACTTTGTGACACTGCTGTTCAATTTCCATTTGTTTCACCTGTAGAAAACATGTATTTGCTTTGTTTTATTTACTTTGTACATTCTATTGGGCAAAGGCTTACTTTGCTTTATGCATTTTTTAGTACACTTCACAGAAGAAAATCAAAATCTTAACTGGTTACACAGGTACATACCACTATAAAGTGAATACATTTGTAATTTACTTACAATGGTGGCCACTTTTCCACTTTTCCTAAGCTGTTGGACTGCAAAAGAATGTGGAACATTTTCCATTGGGGTCCCGTTAACTATGACCACCCGGTCGTTTTCTCTGGAACAGGTGGGAGGGGAAAAAAAAAAAAAGGATTGAAGAGGCATCTTCATGAAAACAGCAGAACAAAATTTCCTATTTTTTTCAGGAGGAATCTATGGATTTCATTCACTTTAACAAGGAGTTCTGCTTAAAAACTGTGTTTGTTACACAAACACTACAATAGAAGCTTTCAGTATATTTAAAAATTAGACCTTGGATAGTGGAGCGTATCTTTGTACATGTACTACGTCCAGCTTAAGTACCTTGCAATGTCAAAGAGATTTTGTTTTTTAAAGAATATTTGTGATGACCATTAAAGCTTTTATTCTTTTTTTTTTAAAGTTCTTTCAGAACTCCTAGTCTTTCACATCTAGTGCTAGACTTCTTTCACACCAACATAAGACTTTCAAGAAAGCTTCAAACTGCTGCAGCCATAGCAGTATTCAGACAAATCCTGACAAGTACCACTCCAGTACACTTTTCTGAAAGACTGGTGTTCAGATCCCATCGACTCTGAAGAAACATGACTGGGGTGGGAACAATCCAACTATAATACACAAAAAGTCCTCCCTACCCTAAAACACAGGCCAAAAGAGATTTATTAACTTGTTTATTTAGACCTTCTGCATGTGAAATAGACCATTAAGACTTAACTCAGTCACCCCTGGGAGACAGACTGATAACACATGATTAATTAAAAACCGTATGTTCCAGAAAGGCATTTCAGGAAGGCAAAAAAGTGCAGGAGATTAAAAAAAAAAAAATCTACCTCTCCTCATATCATTCTGATGACTATACAGTTACTAGCTTTACAGTCAGAGTGTTAGATCAACCAGTTACTGGTTACCGTGCCATTTTCTGCTATATAAAAGAGATCTTTAGTACCCATTATTTTCTCTTCACTGTAATCAAGTCACATCACAATCTTCTTTTTAAATAAGAAGATTACATATTTTAAGCCTCTCTTTGTAAGGCACTTTCTCTACCTCCTGAACGATTTTTGTGCCTTTCTTCATACTCTTCCAATTCCTTTTACTGAATGAGTATGCCAGAACAGCACACTATATTCCAGTGTGTGTTTCACCTGGGCTTTAGGTGAGAGTTAGAATAGCTCTCTTCACAGCCCACACACTGAAAGACGTGAAGTCAATGTTGTAATATTACATCAAAAGCTCACACCTATTTATGCTCACACTACCCTAAAATGGATTGTAATTCCCACACACACTGAAGGTTAGGCCTACATTCCTTGGTTTGTTGGAGGAACAGCTTTGCATTCAGTGTTATTCAGAATGTGTTTTGTCTGAATGTGCCCAAACTGTTTGATGTTGCCTTGTCATCAGCAATTTACCTAGGATCTTGCATGATTTGTGGACATGATTTTATTCCCAAGATCTTACATAATTTGTGGACATGATTTCATTCACAAATCACAGGTGATTATGCAACAGGATGAATGATAGTGGTGTTGTGCAGGGATCACTGCTACAAAATGAAGGTTTTTCATGTTTATGTTGAGAATGGTTTCTTACCTGTTTCACAATAATCCTTTTATCCAGTCCTCCAATAACTACTCTCATGTCAACCTTATCATTACGTCACCAAAAATTAATGTTTGGCAAAATGGCCAGAACCTACTCCTTTACTGCACAACTTGGGCATTCTTCCAAACAGTCTAGTCCTCATCAGGTATTCCAGGTCAAAGGATGAAAAACTGATCAGAAGTGGGCTAGAAACTCTTAATCTCAGCCTGGAAACTTAAAATTGCTTGTCCATGATAGATGTTGCCTCATCAAGAATGATGTTACCAGGAAGAATACAGAAACACTTTCTTTTCTTTTTCTTTTTTTTTTTTTTGTTCAAATATAAAATAAATATTTAGCAAATGCTTTTGTTTCTCTTCCCCCATTATTGCTTCTGACACCTTAGGAATAAAGACCCTTCTCTGGGCTGACTTAAGCCATTCTCTTGAAAACTAATGATTGATCACTAAATGTGCTTCCTGGAGGAAGAACGGGGAGAATGTTTTAAGATACTAAGTATTTCTAATGTTTCTTTAAAAGAAATGCAATCTTAAGAGAAACATACTTAACTACAAGAGTTTTTCAATACCTGTGCTGGTTTTGGCTGGGATAGAGTTAATTTTCTTCAGAGAAGCTAGTATGGGGCTACGTTTTGGATTTGTGCTGGAAACTGTTTATAATATAGAGATGTTTTAGCTGTTGCTGAGCAAGGCTTACACAGAGTCAAGGTCTTTTCTGCTTCTCACCCCACCCCACCACCGAGTAGGCTGGGGGTGCTCAAGAAAATGGGAGGGGACACAGCTGGGACAGCTGACCCCCAATGACCAAAGGGATATTCCATACCACACGATGTCATGCAGCAAGAAAAAGGAAGAGGGGGATATTCAGAGGGGTGGCGTTTGTCTCCTCAAGTAACTGTTACACATGATGGAGCCCTGCTTTCCTGGAGATGGCTGAACCCTTGCCTGATGGGAAGTAGAGAATGAATCCCTTGTTTTGCTTTGCTTTGTGTGCATGGCTCTTGCTTTACCTATTAAACTGTCTTTATCTCAACCCATGAGTTTTCTCACTTTTACTCCTTCAATTCTCTCCCCCATCCCGCCATGAGGGGGGTGAGCAAGCAGCTGCATGGTGTTTAGTTGACAGCTGACACTGTCACTTAATTTCTTACAGAACAGCAAATAAAAACACCTCTGGGTACAGTTTTTTGTTTTGTTGGTTTTTTTGGCTTTTTTTTTTATTATTATTTGAAAGAGACATGTAGGTTTTCAAGAGGGCATCAAACCTTGAATGGATTGAATCAACAGGATTTCAACCAAGCCCGTCTGAAGGTTTTACGTATTCTATAGCCATGACCCTCAAAATATGCCAGACAGAGAAATAAGAAATTGCTTACTGAAGTAATCCATCTGCTGGACCACCTGGGAGAACATCTGAAATGACTATCGATGTTTCACCATTTTCAAAATGAGGGTTATCTCTGCCGCCAGAAACTGCAATCCCAAATCCTCGTTTTGAATCCTTTACAACAAAAACAAATACAGAAAACCTCAATTCCATCCATAGGAATTTTGATAGGCAGAAAGAAGAGTAACAGGAATGTTCCTGTGACGGCAGTCTACCTAGATATTACTTAAAACGTGATAGTTCCATGCAGAAAGCTGCAGAAATACACAGCACCTCTAGATTTAAAAAAGAATGGGTTTTCAAATCCACGTAACAAGACGACATGTTCCCCTGTTCCAAAACCTCAGTCTATGGCCTTGTGATGGTTAGTACAATTAAGCAAAGGACTCGCTAATTTAGCCTGCATTTTGCTCCATCATCCCACTGGTTATTCATACCAAATTTATTGTTAGATAAATCTATTTTTAGTGATGCCTGGAAAACTGGAGCAGCTTTTCCAGGATGTCATCTTCATTATGATGGCTATCTAGTTTGTAATAACTACTTACTCCTCAATGAGACTAAACAAGGTCGTGCCTGATTACAAAAAGCAAGCAGTGAACTTGTCAATTCTTTATAATTATCCTCTCTCACAATCAACTATTTTAAGTATGTAATTTATTACAAACCTGTTGTCATAGAAATATCGGATCCGTAAAAGCCCTGAGATGGGATTCATAAAATCAGGGAAATACCTTAGTTTTATGGGAAGTACTTTCATGCTTCAAGCTAAAATATGGAATTCAAAATAATGGTAAAATTCATTGGTAGTGGCTGATGCAGCAAGTCCAATAGTCCAATAGCCCTTTTGCCACTTCAGTAGTATAAGCCTGTCTCTGAGGTAAAGAAGCAATGCTCATTTACAAGATACCAAGATCTGGAAAGTTGGAAGTTACAGGAACTAAGGTCTGCTTCTGCAATATTTCTCTTGACTACCTCTGTAACATGTAAAATAATCCTTTCTCAACAATTCAGCACATATAGCAGGCTGTGTAAGAAAGATCGCCATTTTACCTTGGGTCATCAAGTTGAGTTCACTACAGAACATGTTAAAAAAAAAATGTAAGCAGTGCAGTACAGGCTGCTTATCGAACCCAGATCATAAAAACAGCTGGGAAGACCACCACCACTGCCAAAGTGCACATCCTGTACCATAGTGTGGCAGCCCAGCCATTAGAGAACTCAGAAACAAAAGGTCTACTTTCTTTAACTCAAAAGTACTCTACATGAGATACTTCCTCTTTTCTTAGAAGAGCTGTTAAAAGTCACATCCGTAGTCCATTATTTTAGAAATTTTGATACGTCATTTTCCACTAGATTCTACACTAGTAGGTATTAAAGTATATATTTAAGAAAACCCAAACAACAGTGGAATAATGTTCAGTGATTATTGTAAAGCTTGGACATTAACTACAACTGCTTGATATGACCATCTGCTTTGTTTTTGTTATGCAGTGATGAATTTAGCTATGTGGCTGGCATGTGGTATATTACACTGCCATTACAAAGACCAAACAGTACCAAATATAGCACTTAAAGTGTTAATTTCATTTACTCTTAACATTAAAGAGTCACACTGCTTTATGAGTAACTAGCAATTAAGTTTTAAAATGAAAAACGTATCTGATTTGGACAACAAATTAATCCTACTCTAGACTCAGATATGCTAATAACATCTGTCATAAAACATATTTAGACTAAACCAGTGCTTGAATATTTGAAAACTAAAAATATAACAGGCGCTCACTCACCTTTTGTAAGGTCACAGTGTACTGTTCCCATATCAGCTCTTCCATGCCTGGGGCCTGTTGCACACAGAAACCAATTAGCAAAACACAAAGCATACAACTATCTAAGTTAAAATGTGAAATACCCATTAAAACACAGGTATAAAAATAATCCGCATATTCTAACAATTTGGTAGGGTTAGTATAAAATGCATGTATTTCGATTGATGATGATTTTTGTTCAAAAAGGAAAAAAATATTAATAGGTCCCAGATGATAGAAAACCTTCACAATTCACTGATTTAACAGCTCGTTCTGATTCTCTGGAGAAGTCTCATTCAGCAAAAGCATTTAGTTCAGATCACACTAGCATTATATAGTTCCAATTCAAGTAACATCCAAAATACTTAAGGAAGACCCCTCCATTCCACTATGCAATAACATTATCAGTTGAGACTGAGGTTTTCAAAACAAACTAGCCCTCAGATCTTTTGCTTCTTGTTCATGTGGATTTAACAAAGTGTTTCATCCACTGTAAATAACGTAATTGAGTATTTAGGTTCCCCTCAAACTAAATTTTACAGGGAAACACAGTGTATCACTATATAGCACTCATACAACCATTTCTGCGACACTCCTCAGAAATATTTTTTTTCCGCATTTCCAGCTAAAGCTGATCCTGAAGTGACCAATTTATCTTACACAATATAACCTGAAATCTTTCCAACATTACAGCTTAAAATATAATACAGAATAATCACCCAGCTGTGATGCATTGTATAGTACACAGCCAGCTTGTTCAAGTGCACGTCCTGTAAAATGAGGAAAAAATGAGCCACAAAATTTGACGCACTGCAAACATTTCAAAATGCAAAGTGTCCATTGCAGAAGAAAAATCCAGGCATTGCATGAGTACGTGCAGGCACATACTCAAGCCAAAGGTTTATTTGGTTTTACTGCTAAAAGTCTTCTTTCTTGGGAAGCTAAGAGTCTGCTCAGAAAACTGAAGTTCAGACAGAAGCTCAGGTTTGACTTAACAGTCTTTTTAAAGGCATTAAAGGGACTACTGGCAACTACACTCCAAAACAATAGACAGAGAAATGACACAAGAAGGGTATGTCTGTACTTATAAAGCATCCCCTGTATTTCCAGAGCAAAAGCCTTCTGGCAGTACACAACTGTTTAGCAAGTTATGGATGCTGTTTCTCAAATGCAAAGAACCCCATGGTATATTCTTCCAGTGGATTCTGAGCACCCTGAAGAGGAACTACATTTACATTTGCACATTCACTGTACTGAAAACCAAATCTAAAATCTAAGTCCTGCTCAGAGTTCATGAGGGAATACACAAAACATTCAGTATTCTTACCAGGAATTTTGTAACACTGAACAGTGTTAAATTTCCACTGTTCTCCCAGAAAATGAACAATGCTCTCCAGTTTCCACTTCCAGGTCCATTAAAAAAAAAACAAAAAACAAAACCACCAAAAAATGGAGGGGAGGATGGTTTTATATTAAAAATAATACAAGTAAGTATTTTAAAATCTCTACTCATCTAGATCAGATAAGAGTGGCATTCATAACTGTTAGGATGAATACATATGTGTCTCAGGTCAGTGAATTACTCCGCTGAAGCACATGGTGAAATTATTTTATCTGATATTCCCATTTAACCAGCTGACATGTCTAACCCTTCAGTTAGCTGACACTGAACTGTCTCACTACATATATTGTCTTACACAGAGAACCTTCCAGTAAAAAATTTCTCCTTAATTAAGCACTTTTTCTAAGGTGCTGTGATGCTGTGGTCAACAGAAGCAACTAGCCTTGCTTGTCTGCCATGCATGAAAACGTGTAAACAGTTTACCAACTACTGACCCTTGGGCACACAATCACTGTACCACTTTTCTATGTAGTATTTTTAAGGTCTGCAGAAAACCAGTCTGTGCTAAATAAGGGCTTCACTGTCACTTAAATTCCAGCTGATTTCTCAGAAGCAAGTTTTAGAAATGAAAGACAGCATCAAATGATGGGTAAAATTTCAAGGACAAGCAGGTGGGTTCAAATTTTGTAGAAGGAGAGATGGAAAATCTTTTCCATCCTTCTTATAAAGACTCAACAACTTACACATGCAACAAGGACATCGCTTAAATTCAGTTTGCACTGTATGCAGTTCTTACCAACGCTACCTCCCAGCCCAGAATACCAAGTCCAGCTCTGCACCCGCAAAACAGCAGGGCAGGCGGGAGGCAATCGACAGCAGCTTACAACCCGTGGGGACGAAGAGCGGCACAGGTGCCTTACTCTCCCAGAAACTCCAACACCAGGTCTTCCAATACACTACCTACTAATGGAAGGCCTGAGAAATGACTGCTTATTTAGTACAACACGACAGAAAAAAGACTAAGGAAAGCATAGTATCTGAAAGCATAGAACGATACTGGGAATTGATTCATTGGTATGAAACGGGTAAGCTCACAGGAATTTCCTTCCAGAAAACTATGCCTCCCATGAGCAGTGGCACAAGTAAAACCTTGTGCCCAATTGGAGAGACGTGTTATGTAGTAAATCAAAGTATTGTAAACTAAACAGGGCTAAGTTCATTTTACTCTGACAAATAAGCCTCATGGTAGCTGGTCACAAAAATAGCAAGAATGGAAGAGAAACTACTGCCTACAGACACTACAGTTAGAGTCTTGCAAGATGTTGAACCTACAGTATCATCTCATCTGTGCCTAGAAAAAGTTCCTCATACTGCCAGTGACTGTCTCAGGTACTTCCTATGTAAATTTCTGGAATTTATTTTTAGCTTGAAACTGTTACTGAATATTAAACAAAAACTAATTAATTCATTCACTTTTAAACTCATAAGTATTTGTTAAAGTAATGTATTTTTAGAAGCTGCTCCTTGCGAAACTGTCTCCCATTTGCTGTATGCTAAATTAGTGAATGAAAGTACACTATGTACTTGCAAAGCTGATTTTGTGCAACGTAATTACCAAGACAACAGGACTAGTTCTGCCATAATGATAAATCTATGCAGGCTCTGTAAAACAGTTCAGAGAGCTGAATGGTCACCTTGGAAGCCCACAAGGCATGAAACGCATCTGTACTCCCTCAAATCTCTCGGCAATAATCTCTTCAACATTATAAAACGTACTACTGCTTGCTGTTGCCACGATGCTGACCCATACTGACAGATTAATGGAGAATAGAAGATTGAGAGGGAGGGAGAGACTACAAATGTTATAAACCACCAGCCAAGGACCTGATCAAAACTAAGATTGAAGTCTCCACCACAATCGCAAAATCCCTGTATTCCATGTCTAATAATAAAACTCTCCTCTGAATGCCCCAAGTGATGGGTTACAAAAAGCCTCCACCAGCTTGCCAGTTTCTTCATACTTCATCTGTAAGGAAACACAAAGGAATCCTGAGTGGTGTGTGGATGGCAATTTCACTGCCAGATTGCATACCAAAACGCTGGAGAGAGAAAGGCCGGCAAAATGGTTAAGAACCCCACCTCCAGTCACTAATAGTAACTGTTTTACAAGTCCACCCAGGTTTCACACAGATAGCAGGCTACCTGCAGTAAATGCAAATTACTGTAATTAGCTAGTCTAAATTCATTAGTGACTAAAGTCAGTCCATTTCCAATTAGAACACTATAGTCAGGATTTGCTTAAATCTCCCTAATGCTCATACACCAAAATGACAGGTGCTTTCTACATACCCAAAATAGACTGCTTAACAGAATCTTTGGCAGGCAACTAGTCAGGGTGCTAAAATTGTCTGTGCGCTACGAACAGGCAGCTGTTGGCAACTCTCACTGACAGTCACCAGAGATTTATGCAATTACTTGCTACTGAGAGATCACGGAAGACAACTTCATTCAGACTGGAGGAAGAACAAAACCAGAAGACCTGCCACAACAGTTATCTGGCTATAAAAGTCAGCTGGAGAGGGGAGGGATATATGAGAGGAGGGGGGGGAAGAAAAGACTTGGAGCAAGATGCAACAAAAAACAACTCACGTGCCCTTTCAAAATCCCCAACTTTTTGACTGCATGTGACCACATTCTCTGCAGAGCTTGAGCTGTCTTCATTGTTGCAGGATATAATCTGTGAGGGGACGGCGTACATCCCCGTCTTTTCATCTGTTTCCACCACTCAACATGGTTATGTAATTCTAATACAATAGTGGCCTACATACTAGAACAAATCCTGCCGTCAGTTTCACACAGAAACACATCAAAATCACAGCAGGGAAATCTACCAGGAGTTTAACTAACTCTCACTTTAACAGACCCCAGGAAAAAGCAGTACTGTAAGCTTATGGTTGTTTGTTTTTTTTTTTTTAATTAAGTGGCAGAAACAGATCGATACGTAGCAAGTTATTCTTCTTTCAAGCACATATGGGTTCACCCCACCAGGAACCTATGTGAAACTTTACAAGAAAAAAGGCTTAAGAAGCACAGTGCAGGTTATTTGAAAAGTCATATTCTGACTATAATATTTTCTAGTAAAAATTACCACTTGACTCCATTGTTGTGAGTAACGCTGTGGTTTAGCAGCCTCTATCAAGTCTTAGCAATTTAACTGCTGAATCCAGGAAGTCCTTATGCAGAAATAACTGTACACATGTGAGTAAACCCTTCAACTGCACATGTAAAACTGCAAACATTTGCAGAACTGTGGACTTGGCTCCAGCAAGCAAAAAGGGAATGAGAAACAAAATTATAATAGCTGCAAATAATACGACATTCCCTCTGCCTTCAAACATTTAGTATGATATTTGTGAGAATGATAAGCTAATCATACAGCCACACATATGACTTTATTGGAATATAGGTCAAGCTATCGGTTCCCTCTATGCTGCATGAATGCCATGAAACTTAAGCCTTAAGCGAACTTTTCCCCTAGACTTTATGTAAGTTTGTTTCACGGGCAGTGAACAGATAGGAACACATGCCAAGTTCAGTACACAGTGCTAACCAAAACCTCCATCCACAGATAGCATTTTTCATTAGTGGAACAATTTTAACGCTGAAGAGTTAAGAATTCAGACAGCAGCAGAAAATGGGAAGGGTTTTTTTTGTTTTGCTGGTTTTGTGGGTTTTATTTAGGTTTTTGCATTTAAAATCGAGACTAAATTCAATATCCTGTGTTTTGGCTTTGACCCCACCTCTGCACTAGCCAGCAGAACTAGGATGAACACAGGCTTGCACTTTCAGCGCTGAGTTGTGGAGCGTGAACACCGTCCAGCCTGCTCACAGGGGTCTGGGAGAAACGCACTGACACCAGGCTCTGACTGGGGCTTCCCACTTCCAGAGCACACGTGTGGATGGCAGTAGTTTAAGACTGTCATTAGAGTCTGGTCAGAACAGTAGGGTAAAGGAAACTAAAGCCTGACTTCACCCCCAGCACAAGATTACAGGTGCAATTACAAGTCCTTCACATTTCACGCCTATTTGACATCTATTATCCACAGACATTTAAATTAAACATCTGCATCAAGGTGTCTCAAAAGACTAGATACATTATCACAGGATGCAGAAACCATCCTCACATGTCACCTGCCTCCATACAGGCAATTATGACAGACAAAATTGGATGGCCCTAGATTTACAGGCATTCAAAGATGCTGATCCACTTCACTTTCTGGAAGATCCCCAAGAGATCCCCTCAATAGACAGTGGAGGCTGAGGGAAATGACAAGCAATCTGTACATCAGTGCATATCAGACTTTGTGCAAGAAACATTTTTTTTCAAAATGCATTTAGAACAGTAATCTTAAGACAAGGTTTGTCTAAAAACCCTATTTGAAGAAAATATAAACTGAGCGTAACGTTTCTAATCACTCAGTCTTCATAGATTTGGTAAATTGAATGTCACTACACAGAAACACAAACAGAACTGTTTTTAATGCAAAAGAAGTGACAATGTAAAAAACTCTTCTTAATCATATTTCACTTAAAAGTTGGACTATTCACTTGCTATAATTTGTAAATTCTGTCTAGCACTGGCAAATGCTACATAAGAACTGCATGCCTATTCCAGACATTCAAAGATCAATCTTTACTTCTGGATGGAGTGGGAGCACAGGTTGTGTTTTCATCAATCCCTTCAGTGGCGGGGAGGAACACTGAAAGGAACAAGAAAACACAGCTGGGTAACACGTGGCTCAGAGGCTGGTGCCACTGGTTGAATGTTGGGGTGTTTGACCACGGGGTGGTTTACACAGCACCGGGCCTGCTGGCAGCAGATGGAGTTCAGCTATCTCCAAGGGAGAAAAGGACTCTCACTTATGAGCTGGCAGGCCTCATCGAGAGGGCTTTAAACTAGATTTGAAGAGGGAAGGGAATAAAGCCAGGCTCACTAGAGATGAGCCGACGGGCAACATGCTGATGTTGGGAGTGAAATCAATAGCCCAGCTC